AGATATCGAAAGAATAATCAAAAAACAGCATGTGGCACTTGATACCTCACAGTGATTCAATGCCACAAGGCCTGGTTTCATAGAACAAAGTCCTGCACTTCCTAAAGATGCATGTTATCTGTTACTGAAAGTTAAGAAAAGAATTAAATGAAAACTCTGAGGCAACAAAAATCAGGTTACTTTTAGCAGCCTTGGCAAGCTGATCTGCTGCTTCAAGCTTTTAATTTGCCTTTCTCTCATAGCTCTTACATATCAACAAAGCAGAATTAGATCCTAACCATCTGTTTCATCATTACTTCTGGTTTCAGTGAATTCCTGCATGAGAGGCAAACCTTTGTTAGCCCCTCCAAATAGATGCAGGAGATGGAAATCCAGTAGAAAAGCCTCCAGAGCAACTGCTGTATGTGCACATCTCGGGGTCTGCCAAGACACCGCATGCTTCAGGCAGCTGCAGGAGCTTTGCTGACAGGGCATCTGTGTGATTTGTCAGCTGTAAAGCTGGTCACCTGCAGTTCAACCATGAATAGCGTGCAGCTTTTCATCTCCAAGATCACAATATTTTAACAAATGTGTTTCACGCTACGAACATACCCATGCCAAATGAGTTTAATAAGTTAGAGCGAACTTGCAGAGCATCAGAAAGGGCTCGTTAAACTGCTGTGTAGAATCCAGTTCTGTTAGTAGCTTTATCTGAGAAGCTGCACACGCCTCACTATCAACACTTACGGCTCTTCCTAGAAGGCATGAAGAGCTCTGTCTTTAGACAGTCTGAGCACCCTGCATGCAGCATCACCTCAAAATCAAACAACATGAAACAACTGCGGCAGCACAGCCCATTCCTGCTGCTGTGTTTCTGAAGGTGCTTAAGTGACCAGCAGCTTGGAGCACACCAGGGCCCTCCTCAAACACCCAGTTAACTGTGACAGCATGACCAAAGTTGCTGCAGTCACGGCAAGAGCTCCTTTTGGAACAAGCAGCTCTACCGTATGGAGCAATCAATGTCCTTGCAGTGTGGTCTATAGGGGATGTTTCCAGGAGGAAACTCGTAAATAAAATCGCTGTAAAGCAAGCTGATTTACCTAGTAAAACTGGTAAAGAAAAAACATAGAAAATAAGTAAGAAAACTATGGAGGAAACCAACACAAGAAGCACGAACTCTCACGGTACGTCGCCCCTACGCCGGCAGCCGGATGCCTGTGATCCAGCTGGAGACACCCTCGCTCCATATGCAACTGTGTAATCTACGGCTGCTGATGCAACTTCCCACAGAGTTGAGTCTGCACTGCACTCATTACCATTTCTTTAAACGAAGAGATGGCACCGGGTTGCTATGCCCTCTATCAGCTCATAAGCATCAAACTCGACACGAACACGCAGCGCACCGACGGGACTCCAGCGCTCCACACAGAAGCCGCCTGAGCGCAGGACAACGCCAGCACGCCGCGCTGCAGCGCCGGCGGAGCCGCTCCGGGAGAAGGGGCAGCGGCTCACCGGACGCTGACTTGGGACGGCAGCCGGGATAAAGGAACGGAGAGCTACGCGGTCGACTTTATCGCTCTTCGTCTCAGCTTCCCGGCCCTCGCTCGGCAGCGGTAGCCCCACAGGGCCACACCGGGAGCGCGGCCACACCGGGAGCGCGGCCACAGCGAGGTACTCCCAGCGCGCCCCCCACCTCGCCGCCAGACCTGGCGGGTCCCGGCCCCTACTCACAGAGCGCGGCAGCTTGGCCGGCCCAGCGCCGAAGTTAGCCACCTGCCTCGCCCCCTCCATGATGGCGCCGCTCGCCCACCGCCGCTCACCGCCCCCGGCCGCCGCGCCGGTATAAACCCCCCGCCGCCCGCTCGCCGATTGGCTGCTCTCGCTCACACCCCGTGGGAGGGGCCGCTGCCGGACCGCCCCGTCGATTGGCCGCCCGTGGGCAGCGCCCCGGCCGGCTCCTGGCGGCGCGGCCACGAGGCGGAGGCGTGATCAGCCGGGAGACGCCCCGCGCACGCCCCGCATACGCCTCCGCGCTCCCACTGTCCCCCTCTTCCCCTCTCCCAATCCGTGCGCCCCACGCAAGGCCGAGCGTATGGTTAATGTCGCGGAGCGGGGAGCAGGGCCGGGTCTGGCTCTTCCAGGCCGATATGCAGCATTCTTTCCACAGATAGCTTGGTGCAGAAACACGGAGTTAACACGAGATTGTTGCTGCTGAGGGAAAGTCTTTAGCTCATTCAATTTCCTCTCATAGTTTTAGTGAGAGAAGAACTGCGCCACACTCCATTTTCAGAAGTGATTTTAAAGCAAATGGCAGTAAGTCACTTGTGACAAAACAAACTATGAAGTATGATTGAAAACAGATGGGCTCTTAAGAGCCCCATAATTTCCAAATATCTCGAAGATTTGCTGTTCTCTTGCACAGTTGCATGAAGTGCACACTCTGGACCCCCCTTTGCTCAGCAGTACCCAAGAGCTCATGTTGCCTCAGCCTGTGCATGCTGATCTTCTTTCTCAGATATAATGATATTCTTGTTCCAGCACCTGAGCACTCATTCAAAGAATTATTTTCTCCTAATATCCAACCTGAACCTTCCCAGCCAATTTAAAGCCATGCTCTCCCATTCTATTGCTGTTACCTGGGAGAAGAGGCCAAACCCCACTTCATCACAACCTCCCTTCAGCTAGTTGTAGAGTGCAGTGAGGTCTCCCCTTGAGTCTCTTCCAGACTGAAATCCCAGCTCCCTCAGCTGCTCCTCATAAGAATTGTGCTACAGACCCCTCACCAGCTTCACTGCCCTTCTCCGAACACACTACAAGGGCTCAATGTCTTCCTTGTAGCAAGGTGCCCAAAACTGAACACAGAACTCAAGGTGTGGTTCCACCAGTGCCAAGTGCAGAGAAATGATTACCTCACTAATCACTATCCATTACAAATTTTTTTCAGCGAAGAAATACTCTTTAATTTGTTCATTTCCCTGTTTAACCAAGTCAATCTGGTACTATGAAAAAAATTTTCTGGCATAAAAACATTTTCATCTTGTGCATGTTAATTTGCTTAAGAAAAGTTAACAGAGATGGCAGCTTTACAGAAGAGATGACCTTCATTCTGGCCATGGACATAGTTTAAGAACTTCACCAAACTTGCATTGAGGCACCAGAGCCTTCCTTGGTTCTGAAGAACTAAAAGCAAACTTGAGAAATGTTGATCTGATACATTCTCTCCAAAATATCAGGGTATTTTTAAAGTTCTCTTTAGGCCACAAGACCCAAGACAACTAAATTACTTCTAATTATTCAGACTAGTTCTAACTGAATGGAAATCCCAGCTGAGCTGTCCAGTAACAACATAAAAGGTGCCACAATATAATTGTCTTTGTTAGAGGCTCTAAGAGAAGTGGGCAAAGAGGTACATGATCTTTGTACAGGCCAAAAGTACCTCTATTTGCCTAGAGGATCAACTCTGAACTTGACGGGAACAAGGTACCCAAGGAGGGGTGGTGGAAATGATCAGAAATAATGCAGGTTGGTGGCTCACATCAACAAACTGGGCCCTACCATACCAAGCACACTGATGTCCAAACAGCATCAGTCTTGAATACTGTGTGTCACAACCCAAAATGTAAATTAAAACTTTGGAATTAAATGTTGTTCACATTTCTGGTACCTGCTGCTAGAACACAAAAGTAGAATCTATCACCTCCGAGCACAGGGAGTAAATACCAGCTACTGTCTTCTTTCACTTCAGGAGAGCCCCATCATGACCAAGAAGATAAAAATCAGCAGCTCCTTTGAGGTTGCTGAAAGACTTGCCCAGTGCTTTAAAAAAATCCATTACATCCTGTGTGCTGAAAGGGAGTAAATAAAATTGATAAGGATGAATAAACCTGACAGTTACCTGAACACAGAACAGTCCATTTCTATTCACATGCAACTATTAAGCTTTTGCAATTGGAGAAAATGCAGAAAAATGGTGAAGGTCACATCAAAGTTTTGTTACTTTTAAATTGAGATTTCTGTTATTTTAATATTTTGCTACCAGCAATTATTATCTTTTTATTACGTCAAAATCCATACATTCATTATGCCAGTATTTATAAGCATCCTGCATAAAACATAGGCTTTAAAAATCACGTCTTACAGTACTACTTCTGGCTTCCAGTATTTGATTTGTGACCCTGTAAGTAGCACAAGCCCCTGCAAATGTGAATTTGTATAATTAAAAACTTCAAATCAGTGAGCGCTGTTTTTACTCTGAGGGATACTAGAAAAAGCAAATCAAAATTTAGAGAAATTTAAATCCCGAAGTTTCCAGTGAACTTTCATTGGGTTCATCATGATTTAATATCATGCTAGAGAGAAAAACTTTCACCAGCTACTGTTGGAAAAGAATTGACTCACTCCAGGAGACTGAGTACACACACGTTCTCTGTCTAGTCCAACTATGAGTAAACTGACGTCATTATTCAAAGGCAAATAATGCTGACTACATAGCAACCTGGCATCCATTTCAGGAGGCAGGCAGGATGTCTGGCCCAGCAAACTAGCCAGACTGGCAAATTTTGATGAGACTGAAAATAAAATGCAGGTAGTTTAGAGGGTATTGTTTTGTTTTCCTCAGAGATTTGACTTCAAATAATACAATTACAGAATGTGTGTAATAATTCCTGGGAAACTAAGAAGACGACTAAAATGCTAGAGCTTTATCGTTAACAGTAATGCATTCTCTAGCAAATAGCTGGGCTACTTATTGATTCTAGATTTTTATGTCAAACAAGAACATAGACAAGTTATGTAAAACATTAACAAATAGCAAGTGGTTGAAACAACCTAGAGCAAAACTCAGTGGTAAGGTGCTTAGGTAATCCTTTGAGATGTATACCAACAAAATACTGTAATACTTATATTACTTTCTATTAAAATACTTTATTCACATTTTTGTATACCAAAAGTTGTGTTTGTTTTTTTTTTTTTTCTTAATACTTTTTAAAAATAATCTTGAAATTTGAAAGTATTCATGATAGCCTTAAAAAAAATGCTTTTCCCCCTTGCAACCATTTTCTCTACTGATTTCAGATGCAACATTCAACTGTAAAAGTATGCACACCAGATTCTGACAGTAGGGCAGGTACAAAACAGTTCCTCCGACAAGATGAAGACAAGAAAGACCATCTAAATTATGTACCACCTGATCAGTTTTGCTTTACATGATTATTTTTGACATAAATAGACACCATTAGTATTTGCTTCTGAAGTATTAACAGTCATCACTTGTGCCACCTGTTAACAGAGACACAATGCATAAACTGTTTTAAGGTTTTGATAGTACTCTTAGAGGCACATAACAAGCAATTCCTAATCTCACACAGATGGACACTTCTGAAATTTTGTTATACATTATTTCATAGTGATTAGCTTTATCGTTTTTGTTTTAAAATGATCACACATAGCATTTTACTGCTGAAGAATCTGATTTCATCAACAAATGAGACAGTCATTCCAAAATCACAAGCAGTGAATCATGACTGAAGTCACAGATCTCAAACGTTTAAGAGAATATCTAAAACCACATAGATTAATATATTACTCTGCTATTCTGAAGACTGTGTAAATAGTGCACTTTCATTGTGCAATTACTTGTGCACTGTTGCAACAGCCAAGGTGATCTGCTATTTGCTCAGAACAAAATTTGAGGATTCATGTGTATGTTCATAATTCTCACGGAAACAGAGACAGGAATTTCTACAGATCTTTTGTGTTACAGAATTCTCACAACACATAACAGAAAGGAAAAAAAGATTACATGGTAATTTCTGCACCCCTCAGATCAGCCCAAATTATGTTGCCTAATTCATACATGTAAAAATCAGTCTTCCACTGCTCTACTTCCTTGTTCCTCCTAGCTCTCTGGAAGAAATCCCAAAGTCAAGAAAAAAATAAAAATCTTCATCACTAATTGGTGAAAGTTTTTGATTACAGAAAACATCAGCTATAAGATATGAAATTAAGATAAAACTTCAACATTTAATCTACTTTTAAAAGAGGCAGTTTTTCAGAATCAAGACCAATGCAAGCACATGCATGTGAAAAAGCCACAGGAAAATTCACAGAATCACAGAATGGCCAGAGCTGGAAGGGACCTCAAGGATCATGAATCTTTTAAGCAAAGAAAATTGACTGGCTTATTCAAAGTGAAAACTAATTCCTATTGCTCAACAACCAAGTGACCTGGGCTGTAGTCTAATCTAGAAAAATGTAGGTTCTTCCATTCTTCCAAGTGCAAATTTTGCCTTGCTGACAAACTTAAAAATTGTTCAGAGACCTTGTTTAAATGTTCAACAACTTCATTTCTATGACCTGTCCCAAGAAGTTAACTTTACAGAACTCTGTATGAAGAAAACAATAATATATCTCCCCCCAAAAAACCCAAAACATTGTTAAAATTAGCAAAGAAAATTACAATTACAGTACAAATCATACTAGACTCTTAGATTGCCTTTTCCAAGCGTACAGATATAAAAAAAAATACTGCACTATTTTTCAGTGCCATACTGAAGTGCATCTACTGTGCAAAATGATACTTCCTGCATTGCTGCATGCAAGTCAAAGTCTGTTACTACATGCCGTAGTTGGAAGTTGCAAGGCAGCTGTCTGTGAAGAGACAGGACATAGTACCAGGAGGAAAAATCCCAGGAGTTTCAAAACAATGACAACTCTTCTATCTTCTCACATTTCTCTAGCTTCTGAGAGCAACCTGAGTTGGACTGCACACCCTTCTGAGGTACGTTCCACAATATATTATGTTTTGAATTGCAATCACAGCCATAATGACAGTATTTAAACATTTTAGAGATGTTTGTGTTCACTTTCATATCCATTATGCTTCCATTATGCTTGTGAGTATCATGCCCTCATAGTTAGGCATGAACTGGTGTTTCCCCCAAAAACCATTGTGTCCACTCCCACTGCAACAGACTAGAAGTAAATTAAAAAAAAACTAAATTTAAACTGTTTTATTAGCAGAAAACATTTACACTCTATAAAAAGATCAATGACAAACAAAAGCATACTCCAGGAAATTCTTTTCAAGTGGTAAAAAGTGAAGGGTACCAGTACATAATGCATTTCAAAAAAACAAAAATCTGTTGAAAAGTGCTGTAAACATGAAACAAAACTATTACTATATACTACTACTACTATGGAATGCTAAGTCTTCAAGTCTACATTGCTTTACAGAAAATTTCTCAACTTGCACAGAACTTCAAAACTTATTTTTAACCCTGCATATGTAATGAACAGTCCAAACATTTCAAGTGTTGGCAATACTTTGTATACTTTCTTGTATTTCAGACACAGATTCTACAATGTCAGTTCCAGAATGGTCTACCACTTGCAGTCTACTTTGTTCTCCTCTTTCTTCATCATTAGCAATTACAGTTTCAGTCACTTTAGGAATATATTTCTTTGAGAAACAATTTTTGCTTTTTTCACCAGAAGAACTGGATGTGCCACTACCGTTATGTTTAATATTTACACTCGAATCAGTAAATGCATTCAGACTAGTAACCACCTGCCTTGTTGAATGATGTCCTTTTGCTTGTTCATTCTGTTTGACTCTCCTCTCAGATAATGCTGGAGTGCCATTTCGAGTTTTATCCTCTTTAGTTTGCTCAGTTGCTTGAGCTTCCTTTTCTTTCCATAAGGCTGGCTGCAGCTGTTGCACAGCAGTCTGATATTCATGCATTTCTTTAAGAGCAGAGAAGTTCACAATCATCTGAGATTCAGATGTGCCAGGAGAAAGATGGATGTTCCCATCTCTGTTCTGAAATAAGAGATTCTGGTAAAGATTCTGATAGAGAAAATCCAGCACTGCAACTGTTATATGCTAGAATCTACATAGCAAAATAAAGTATTCACATAACATAGAAAACGTTGAAAGACAAGAGCAGTCTCTTATAATATATAAGAGTTATTACCTTATAATAACCTTTATTACTTACAAAGCAAGCAAGTGTCAGAAGATTGCTAAAGTGGTCATGACAGAGTAGGTATATTTCACTGTTTCCCTATTAGCTTGAACTTTATGCTACAGAAATGAGTCAGTCACACTACTGGAGCCAAAGCACATTCTCTACAAACATTCTGAAATACTTGAAATTCACTATGCTATGAGTTTACAGCAGCTTGATACCAGTAACCTATCCCACAATACTTAGCTGCCAAAAGGATCTAAACCATGAAGTCCTAGGAGAAAGTATGAGATAGCGTAAACATTAATTGGAGGTTTTTGTACTCATCTTTTGCCACATATAACTTAAATACTTTCAATTCAGGCTTCTAAATGTAGTGGAATTAGAAAAATCATGGTTAGGTCTGTGAACAAGTTAACATCACAGAGAAACCACTGTTGCAAGTGGAACAACAGCTATGTGAAAGAACTATGATAGAATTACTCAATTACTCCCATTACTTTTAACATATTCCAACTGCAAATGTGGAAAATGCTGATTACTTAAAAAGCTGAAGCACTGATTTGCTATCATCTGTAAAATACAGCTACAGAAAAAAATTGTGATAATTGGATCACTGGGTAATCGTCCAGAGTGGAAAAACTGCTGGAAAATTCATTAAAATTGCATCAAGTACACCACAGCTAGAACTCCCTCTATAGACTGACCTGGCTGTTTTGAGCATGTTCTTGTCTTCCTTCTTCAAAGGACTTCTCCTTTAGCATATTAGCAGGTTTACTGAGAGTAGAATTCATTTGTGGATGTCCCAAAAGACCAAAATCTGACTGGTCTATCCCAGCTAATACAGCAAGTTGTCCAAGTCTGTAAAACAAAGTTAAATAAGACTAAATTATTATCCATGTAAAAGATCTACAAATTTCAAACCAGAAGAAACAGTATCTATTTGAACTTTTGAAGATATTTTTCCATTTTTAAGAGGCCCAAAACAGACTACAGAAGATCAAAACAGGTGGTGAAAGCTATTTTCTCATCTTCGCACTAATTAGCTTGTACTAAACTGTCAGTTTTGACTCAGTGTTACCAGGGGAAGTAATGAAGTTCTTCCAGTTAGCATTGATCCCAGAGCAGGATACTAGCAAACATTCTCCCTATCAGGCAGAACAAAGACTAAAACTGTATCATTCAAGCAGAAACTTTGTGCACATCTCCCAAATTAGCATCACCTTTAACAGCCAAATGCAATTATATGCTTCACAAATACAGTCATGTTGTTGTATCTGCCAGCTTAGTAGTCAGCCAAACCTGTCAATATGAGGTTTGCTTGCCTAAGTCTTAGTAAGTGAGAAGTTGCTGCCACCATTTGATAACACAGCACATCAGAGAAGCTTACTGAGGAAGCCAGTCTTTTTGATTGGCATTTTGTAAGTTTCAGGGCAGCTATGTGAAAGAACCTACGATGAGCATTATTCAATTACTCCCAGTAATTTTAACAAATTCTGACTGAAGGTGTGGCACATTTGAAAAACATATTTTTGATGTAAAAAAGAGAACACATTTCCCTTTCTCCAAAGTTTGACATTCATCCTAGAAGTAATGGTAACTCCACTGATTGGTTAAAAAATAGAAAATTACTTCACAGTGAAGTCTACATTGAGCTTCATTACTGTAATTTGGAGAATGGAAGGGGTAGCAGGAGGCAGGGAAGGCAAATAAAACTGTAGCCTTCTCTGAACATCTGAGTAGGCTACAGCATATTTTCATGTCTTTCCCTCATTCTACAAGGCAAATATGCCATGGCTTGCTAAATAAGCCTTACAAGAACAGGTTTAAGGACTTAAGTTTGATGAATGAGAAAGGTAAACCAAACTCTAAGACACTACAAAATATGTCAGAATATTAATATAAACTTTAATCAGTGTTCTCTTGAATATTTCAAGTTCTAATAAGCAATCTAAAACTTAAGTACAGAGGATATTTTCATCCATCTTCCTTTCTATCAATCAGCAGAAAGGGGCCCAAAACTTTCTGAAGCCAGATCAACTGCACTCTAAGCCTTTTGAACCACAGGAATGCTAAAAGCAACAGACAATCCAACAAAGATTGAGCAAAGATTTTTTAATAGCAGCTTTCTTGCTCTTGGAAACACGTTTCTTCAAAATCTTTGTGAGGGACAGATCCTTGAATTCAGTGGGACAGTGCTTGTGTCACTGAACAAAGGGAATGAACAGTAAGAATGTGCAGCAATTCGTTTTTTCCCTTAGCTCTTTACTACTACAATTCTAGAGAGCTGAAGGAAGAAGGCCACATAATTAATTCAAAGCATAACTATAATAAAATCTCAACAGAGACAGTTAAACTCAAGTAAAGCGAGAACTTACCCAGCATCTTTAAGGAGGTCTAAAAAAGCATGAAACTTTTGGAAAGAGTTCTCAATGCTGCCTAGAACACCTTCATCTTCCAAAATCATGTTGGTTACCGACTGCGCATGAAGAGCTTCAGATAGAGAAGTATTTAGATTCCTCAGCCTTGCATTTTCAACTTCCAGCTAAAGAAAAAAAGTAAAGCCATTCCTATCATTCTCCGTTCAAAAAATAAGCAAACATCTTTGCAAGCTTATAGAGATCACAAAAAGAAATAGGCAAAATAACTAATGGCAAGCTTCCTGTACCAGAACTATTCAGAGCACTGCCACATGGAACAGGTTTGTTTGTCTACAGATGCAATTCTATGCTACCATATGTGAACTTGCGTCAAGAACTCAAAACTGATGATTCAGCATTATCTGCAGTATGCACTGAACAGTGCAGAGCAAGTGCAAGCAAAAAGCCATTATTTTTAAATCACGTAGTTCCAGACACATAATACATTCACAAATAACTTATTTTTACTTATAAAAACCATAATGAAGGCCATCATTCTCCTATATTCATCTCTCTGTATCGAAGGGAATGCATATTATCTATCTTACCACCTCTGTGCACGTCAGAAATGGAACTAAGATAACCTACATTTTCTTCATATTCAACATGAATCACATCAGTGATTATCTAGAGCTGAATGACAACTGTAGGATACACAGGGGTTTTTGTATGAGAGAAGCATTGTCATTCACTTATTTTAGCTATATAATCACGGCTACCACAGGCTTTCTTTCATCTTTTACAACAGAGAACAGAAAACAGAGATCTAAGTAGTATACTCTAGCTGTTAAACTAGTAAGTGAAAAACTTAAGATATTGCTGCTACTTAGATTATCCCTTCCCTTAAGGCAAGGTACAACCCCAGGCAGTCTAGCATGAGAAAGACAGACATCCTGCAGGGGATATTTAACCTAGAAAATATATAAATACAACTATCAGAGCCCACTGCACATGACAGAATAGGAATATCCACAATGAAGAACAACAACGAACCTTATAAAGCACAGATTCTTTTGGGGGAAATTTGCTCACTGTACTGGGCACCATTTATTGTTAAAGTTCAAAAAGGTACCACCACTATCAGAATCACAGAATGGCCTGGTTGAAAATGATCTCAGAGATCTAGTTTCAACCCCCCCTGCTATATGCAGGGTCACCAACCACTAAACCTGGCTGCCCAGAGCCACATCCAGCCTGGCCTTGAATGCCTCCAGGGATGGGGCATCCACAGCCTCCTTGAGCAACCTGTTCCAGCGTGTCACCACACTCTGGGTGAAAAACTTCCTCCTAATATCTAACCCCAAACTCCCCTGTCTCAGTTTAAAACCATTCCTCCTTGTCCTATCACTATCAACCCAAGTAAATGGTCATTCACCCTCTTGTTTGTATGTTCCTTTCAACTATTGAAAGACCACAGTGTGGTCTCCACGAGCCTTCTCCAAGCTAAACAAGCCCAATTCCCTCAACCTTTCTTCATAGGAAAGGTGCTCCAGCTCTCTGATCATCTTAGTGGCCCTCCTCTGGACTTGGTCCAAAAGCTTTGCATCTTTCTTATACTGGGGGCCCCAGGCCTAGACACAGTACTCCAGATGAGGCCTCACAGTAGAGGGATACAATCACTTCCCTCTCCCTGCTGGCCACCCTTTTTTTATTCATCCCACTGCAGATCACATCTAAGAATAAAATCTGTTTATTTTACATTACTTTAACTCTGTGGCAAAGAATTCTGCTTAGTGATTACCCTTAAATCAAAAGGGTCTTATCTAGGTCAGCAATAGTAACTCATAACTATGGCCAACAAGCTGACTACCCGTAAATGCATCTGAGATTTTCATCATCAACAGGAATGGTTAAATAAATAAAAGGAACAGCATAAGTAAAATATATATTTACAAACAAACAGCTTCTCAGTGCAAATCGAAGAACTGTAACTGTTAAAACTTTCAAGCAGAACAAATCCTTTTCTCAAGGAAAAGCAATTCCAAAATGCTCCTGTTTGTAACTGACAGACCTAAAGAATGAAGTACATTGGAAGTTCAGCACAGCCAGGAGTTCAAGGTTCTGGAATAGGATCAACAGAACAAACACATTACTAAATGTAGGTTTCATCATTGTCCTTAGGCTAGTGAATGATCCATATAACTTTGAACTGAAGTTCTGGAAGCTATGAGTTAGGAAGTTACTGAAAATTACTCCAAATACGTAAGTGAGTAGTTTGATTGGTGTAAAGATGGTAAATAGTTAAGAATTACTACCTCCATTATCCGTTCCTCAGCAGTGACTCTTGCTCTTTGTTCTTCCTTTAGTTTTTCCATGCATTCTTCCAGCTCCAGCTATCACAAAACAGAAGATTTATTTCCAAATGTATTACACATGAACACAACATGTAAAAGCAACAACTTTAAGATCCGCAAGTTCCCTCAACTACATTCTCATCATTAAGTAGCTCTGACAGCTCAATTTCCCTCTAGTGGAAGGAACAAGTATTTATCAAATCTTACCTTCTATTTAAGCAGAAATTAAAAGTTTGGTATGCCAAGCATTTTTTGTGAATGATGGAAACAAAACTCTATTTCAACTGAATAGAATGCTTAAATCCTTTTCTTGAGCAGAAGGATGCTAAGTTCTCAAGGTGTTGCATAATGAAGTCAAATCCTAGTCATTCAGTCACATCAAAGATGTTTGATCTTTTCTGGCATGCTAGCTGTATAAGGAGTTTCCACCTTTTACTGTTTATTCCCATTTTGCAATCTCATCATTATGCTACCCATACGATTGTCCCACTTCAGTAGCAGAACATGACAAATCCTGCTACAACTGAACATTTTGATTGCTTCTCAGCTAGATCAACTCCTCAAGCTAACTCTTGATCAGTGTGATAACTGCTGATTAACAACCTAAGTCCAGTCACGACAGCTGAAGTGTCCATCACTTCCTGTCTCACATTATTAGCCACAGACTTCTGCCATTCGTCTTGATCTATTTCTGAAATTCAGCCAGTCACACTGGCAAGTACGAATCATCAACATGGCTGAGCACTAACCTGGAAAAACATCACTTTCTGCCAAAACAGCATGTTGAATCATCTTGCCATGTGATAAACAGAAAAAGATACAAGATAGGAAAGGAAAATTAAGAAATGGAAGAATATGAAAAGATGCAGGGAAAGCAGACCTCACAATTAATTGCTGGCAAATAGTTAGTTTCATTCTGCCATGGTGTGAAACACTGCTTTTACGTCAGCATAACAAAAAGATATGGGAACTGCCCAATATTGCTTAAACAGTGCTATCAGATACATACCTACGGAACTCGGAAGTGTTTTGTTTATCAAATATAGAAAACAACACTACAATTATGTTCTTAATATAACTAAAAAACAATTCAAAACAAAATCAGGAAAATCTAGATGGTTGCATTTGGAGCCAATTTTGATATATTTCAAATATATCCCTAAAATTCATAGTTTTCTCAGGAAACAAATTAATCACAAGTTTTCCCTTCCTAATGGATGCACTACACGTAATCAAAAGATTACTTATGTCAATGCTTGGTCACCCTCACAGTAAGAAGTTTCTCCTGATGTTTTTGACGAAATCTCCTGTTTTCCAGTTTGTGTCCACTGCTTCTTGTACTGGCACTTGGCACTGAAGGGACTAGCTCTGTGTTCTCTGCATCCTCACTTCATAAATTTATACGTATTAATGATTCCCCCTGAGCCTTCTCTACCTTAGGCTGAACACCCTAATAAACAGCCTTTCCTAATAAGAGAGATGCTCCAGTCCCTTTGTTACTTTCATGGCTGTTCCTTGGACCCTTCACCAGGATGTCCATGGTTCTGTTGCATTGGGAAGCCCAGAACTGAACACAGCACTCTGGATATGGCCTCACCATGGCTGAGGAGGAGAAGGGCCATGTCTCTGAACCTGCTGAGAACTCTTCCTAATGGAGCCCAGAATACTACTGACCTTCTTTGCTGCCCTTCAGCATTGGCTATTGTTCAATATGACGTGCACCAGGAAATTAAGGTGCTTTTATGTGAAGTTCCCTTCTATAAGGGTAGCTCCCTTTATCTACTGGTGCCTGGAGTTGTTCCTCTCCAGGAACAACAGGACTTCAAAATTCTCCTTGTTGAACTTCTTCACACTCTAATTATTGTGTCCTGAAATTAATATTCCACTCTATCCAAATACCAGGAACAAAAACATCAAGTAGTTCCTGAAAACAGTGAGGTTCTTGCTGCATACAAGTTTCTGGCACAATATTCATACGACATGGATTTCCACGATTCCAACAATACTCTAGCTGAGAGTGTTGAAATCACTGTGCAGTACAACATCAGTGTGCTGCACATGAACAGTATTAATATGAAACCACTTACAAAGAAGAAAGCTCCTACACAACTTTAACTCAGGCCCATGGAAAACATTCCTGAATAAAATTTCCAGAGAAAAATGACAAGCCTGAAGTATACACTAGCTGAAAAAAGTCACATTATTATTTACCCTGTATCTGTAGTCATTTTGCTTTTCCTATTAACTCTAAGCTATCCTAACTTTGCCACTGAATGCAGATCTGCAACAGCATGAAGTTTTGACTTCACTGTGGCTATCTAAAGACAGCTCTGTCATCCTCATATTTACAGACCTGAGCAGTTTGTCCACTAAATGTTGTGCACAATGACAGCCATCATGAAAACCAACTGCAGGTCTTATTTTAAGCAGTATGTACTTGGAGGCATTCTCCACTTCTCCATTCAAATTTCAAATCTTAACAACACGTGAGATTATATCTCTGAGTGAGCATGTTATTTTTATAACATAACTAGAATAGGACAGTAGAGTTATGGGCTCACTTAAACATGCCCTTTGTTTTAATTTCATTAGAATGTGCCCTGTGAAGATATTTGTACTCTCACTACTACTCTTAATTTTTTATTTATTTATTTACAACTACCAAAGTAGCAGCAGGAATAAAGAACAAATATGCAAAAGCACACAGCTGACTTGTTAAGTTTTCCATCAGCCAGGACCCTTAAATCCTTCTTGGCAGGGCTACTCTCAAGTTCTCCCAGTTTGTATACAGATCTGGGATTATCTCGACTAAGTGCAGAACCTTGCACCCTGCTTTGTTGACCCTCTTTAGGATCACAAGGGCCCACTGTTCAAGTTTACCAAGGTCCGTCTGGATGGCATCCTTTCCTTCTGCTGTATCAACCACTCCATGCAGCCTGGTGACATCAGCAAACTTGCTGAAGGTACGCTCAATTCAATCATCTATGTCACTGGTAAAGATGTTGAACTGTATTGGTCTCAAGATGGATCCGTGAGGGACATTGCCTGTTACAGGTCTCCATTTGCACAGAGAGCCATTGACCACAATGCAATCATCTAACCAACTCCTTACCCACCTAATATTCCACCTTTCAAACATAGCTGAATTGATATCATTGGTATTCATGAAATTTAGGGCACAAAACATGCTTCTTACCTGGAATTGTTGATACTCTGTTACATTAACCTTATCTTGGGATTTTGTCAAAACAGGATGATGGATTACATCTTCTAAATCTTCAGTCTCTTCAGTTTCAGATGTTGAAGCACTTTCTACAGTCACTTTCACAGGAATACCCATCTGATCGCGCCATAAAACAAAACCACGTCCAGCAACAGTATCAATCCGTGCAATAAAATAAAAAATTGAATAGCATCAAAAGCTTTATTTAAATGTAAAACTTTCCATAAGTCCATTAAAATGCACATTCAACCTGTCCAACTATGCAGTTTCTTCCTGATGTACAGGGAAGAAGAGAAGGTGGGACAGGACAACAATGGAATATGAAGACGGAGAAGGGAAGAGATTTCTTCCCTTCCTCCACCTACCTCCCCCACAATTTGGTAGTTTCAGATAGATTCAAACTCAAGTATGTAAAACTAAATAGTCCAAAAGCAGAAGGAAGAGAGGAAAGGAGAAAGCAGCATCTCCAAGAGAAAAAAAATGTGAATTCTTCTTATAGCCTCAGGATGGACCAGCTTGCCAATTAGAGTAAGATAAAAAGCTAGTGATAAAGAAGTGGGAACAAACTAAGTACCAAATTTTCAACCGAATGCTGAAGAAAACTTACTCTGCACTTCTATGAGACAAAGAAACTAAGTTATAATGTTTCGGTTTCAACTGTTAGATACTAAGATTCTAATGAGCACACATCTTTTTATAGGCACTCATCTAAGAGATAAACTGCCATAAGAGTAAGAAAGTACCTGAATCTTCACTGGTAACTCTTCAGAATTATCCACTGGCTCTCCCCTAAAAAGTCAGAAAATAAACATCTTGAAAACAGGAATTTATCATGTCATCATTGCTACTTCTATTTCCCAGGGTTCTAGGAGATATGAAATTCTAGGGAAAAGTCTAACACTTAAAACAGTGTTAGACACTTTTAGCATTCCTTTAACATTCATTACATCCACAGTCTGTTCTGCTACTATTCCTATTTAATCATGATTGAGGGCAGCATTACTGGATGCTAACAACACCTTCAATAGGTAACTTGCTCAGTTTATTATAAAATCAGAAGAATTTAGTGTCCAGAACCTCTAGAAAAAAAAGTTTAATAAAAATAGTAATGATAAAGCATTAGGTAAATTTTTTTGTATGCTCATTTGAATGACCTCAACTTTGAGCATGCAATATCTAAGGATCTGTGGTTATAGTTTTTTGTGTGCACATTTTTTTCCCCCCATGCTGTTGGAAGAGAAGCATAACAACAGTATAACAACTTCCAAGTGTTGTAAAATTAATATTTTCTTCAACTTCATACTGTTAAGATAGTTATTAGGCAGTAATAATACTGACAGTAGGGAAACAAAGTAGGAAGAAAAGACGGGCAGACTACCTAGACAGTTTGAACTGGACCCCAGATCAATTATACATTTCCAAGCTTGCAGTAAATTACATTTTCAGCTACACAACGTTGATAAATCATGAGTAACAAAAGAACAAGTCAGCAAGATTTTTGTACACTTGTTGATTCCTATGGTGTATATTTTCAAAATTTACTTCAGCAGGATTTGTAACACCCTTAAAGAATTCTCCTATCTTCAGATTTTTATTATTTTTTTTTTTAAATGTTCAACTTTCAAACATGTATTTAAGAGAAAAAAAATGCTGTTCTCTCCTACATGCAGGTTTTTATGCTTTAGTATTCTCCCCTTGTAGTAAGGTCTCACCTGCACCTCTTTGCACGTTCTGCAGTGCGCCAGGGAAGGAAGCCTTTTGTGCCTGGTGGTTGTGGCTTTGGTGAATAACTGTCTTTCAATGATATATTCTTTTTCCCAGGACTCACAGATTTTTTAGAGGTTAATCCTGTATTGAATAGCAAGAATATGAGAAAATTCATGTTACCTAGGGATTTACATATAAAATCAGAGTTTATTATTTATAAGCAAAATCTCTGAAGCAGTAACAGGGGCTGTGGGAAATCTATCTTTCAGTCTTATTTTAATGAAGTGTTCAAGAACTAACTTTTGTTTTGTTTCTCAAAAGGAGGGCTGGCCAGCTAATGTGTTTCCAGTCTAGTATGCTTAACTGTTGTATCAGAAAAGAGTGCAAAGTTCCACACACACAGAGTTTTATTCATATGAGTAATCTGAGTTATTCAACTAACTTCTCTGAACTTGCAGCTTAGACAGCCCAAGTAGAAAGTAATGAAATTTATGTTCTTTAAATAGCCCTCTAGTGGTTCCAGTGAGAAAAGTATTTTTTAACTTTTCCAAGATGGTTTAAAGCTGGGATTCGTGTTTGTCACTTCCACAGACCACCAGCAATATCACCACTTAACAGGAATAATAATGAAAATTCATATTCACTGCTTCAACCTTTTGTCATTGTTCGAGTCTTATACTGTAATGCAAAGAAATTTAGAAGGTAGAATGATCACCAAAGCATCATGTATTCTATAACAAAGTCTTATACCATAATGCAAAGAAATTTAGAAAGTAACCAATTCAAAACTGTTAAACGGGAGCAGACTGAAGTTACTCATTCTTTGAGAACGTGCAGTAAAGCAACCAATTTTTTTTTAATGATGCAGAAATACAGAACTCTAGTAACTGTATTCCAAATTTCAGTTTGTTCTCAGCAAGTAAGCAAGGCAAGAGAGGTTGGCTGAGTTTGTTTATTTTTCAACATTCTTCTCCCTTCCTGGATCCTGTATTTGAGTAAGGTATTTTCTTCTCCCATTACTCTGCTCAACCAGAGTTTATTTCTACAGATTTTAAATGGAATTATGCTTACCTCTCTACTTCCAGATAACTGGAGCAAAGATGAAAGTGCCAAATGTATTATAGTAAAGTTTTCAGTAACATATTCAGAAATGGTGTATTTCTACTGTGAATATTTATAAATATTCACAACACCTATGTTATTTTAAATACACTGCTTATAATGAGCTTATACGAAGTTAAAAAAAAAGAACATTCTTTGTACAACAGTAGAAGAAAAATCATTCTTGTTTGTTTTGGCAGAGGACAGTCTGCTCCAGAAAGACTACAAAAATCAGAAAAAAATAGACAACTCACTACAGCAAGTGTCCTAGAAGCAAACACTTGTGGGGAGAATGCACTCAGAATTATGTGATTCACCATATTCAAGTCAGTGTATTCTCCTGTTCTGCCAGCCATATATGTAGCAACATTAAAAGCAAGAGTAAATTTGCTATACAAATTTCTAACAGTAAGACACTATTAAGTATAAACTATTCTTTAAAAAAAAGATTTTGCAGAACACTGACATTTAAACACAGACTGTAATGAATTTATGAAATGCTTAAAGAAAATGAAGACAAAATTACCAATACGAATAGTAGCTTTTCCTTTTCGACCACTTCCTAGAACAATAGTTCTTTTCTTTGGTCTAGCTTTCAAAGCATCCTTGGAAGACAGGGAAGACAGCCACTTATACTAGATTTATAAAGAAAGAAAAGTTATTTTAGAACCTGGTATTTAAAAAGGTGCTCATTTAAGACTAAGTGATTTTTTTGTTAGATATATGTAGGCCTCTGCTCATTACATACAACTTAATAAAAAACTATAAAGCAAATAAAAAATCCCACAACGCCCCAACTCAGCGACAGATTCAGTGCAAGTCTGAATGCTGTATTATCAGCAAAACACTTTTCCTTTTATAGAGAAAATAAAAGCATCAACTCCATAAAAGGAAACTCTGGCTCTTGCTTTTCATTCTCTAAAGCAAGCTGTCTTACTAAGAATGACTAGCTCAGGCCAGGGTTCTCCAAAGTAATAAAAACTTAACTTACATGATTTTTTATTTTATTTTTTTTTTTTTTAAACCGAAGTCAGTAATTAAAAAAATAAAAAGTTTAATTTTCATTGCCTCTAGAATATCCAAATTATAATTAAGGCAACAATAACCAAAAGCAGTTGTTTACTTCTTCACAGCAACAGCTTTATGCTTTAAAGGTTTCTCATCTGCCAATTAGTTTTATTATTAGTTATTATTTATTGTTATTCCACGTAGATAATCAAGCTACTATGTCACAAAGCTTTCAGTATGCATAATTGATACAAAATTCACTAATGAAGCAGCCATCACAGGTAACAAATACTAATGCAAATATTATTTCAGACAGCCCTAAGCCTACATCAGAGTACTATGAACAGTAAGCTGATGTCATCCCTACCTACTGCACAGGAAAGATGCACTTACTGTGTTTTAACCAAGCAATTCCAGCACAGTTTTATCACTGGTAGGACCCTTTCCTGTCCCACTGCCTTCCCCCCCACTACCCCTCTTTTTTTTTTTTTTTTTTTTTTAAAAAAAGAAAAACCTTCAGACTTAAATAAGCCTTATATAAGCTATATTTTGAGCTAGCTCTTGACAGAAGTAAGCTGCTCATTTCCAACTACAAAATAAAATCAACTCTAAACTTTTGAGAGTAAAAATAACTTTGCTTTACTTCATGTTAAACAGCAGCTATTAGTATATTAAACTTGACATTCATCTGTAACTGAGAAGATAGCTACATGCTTCTAGATACCTGCTTCTGTTGTACAACACCCAAGAATAGAGACAGCAAACATATTAAGACTGTTGAAATATGACTAAGTTCTTAAGCTCAGGCTATGGGAATAATTTGTTTTATAGGAACTTTCAGTGAATTTTTAAACTTTTTCTGTCTCTCCCAGAAACTACACAAACTTTCAGTATCTGTTACATACAATATCTGTAATTGCAGTCCACAATATTAGAGCCATACAGTGCTGCTAGGATAATACAACTTCATTTGTTTTAAGGGTCCCTTTATATTTGTGGGAAAATTTCTTATGTTTAGAGGCTTTAGTTAGCAACCCACCTTGTAAAACTGAAAAAACAACACAAACAGCAAGAATGTATATGCTACTGAAAGGCAAAGAAGCAATTCATCCTTTTCTTCATAAGAAGTGAAGGACTGTTGTGACTGATAGCCAATGAAAAAGTCATAACAGTACAACAAAGACTGTGACAGCCAGTACATCATCTTCTGTAATTAGGCTTATTATTACAATGCCATTCAAAAGTCCACAACTCCACTTTAGGAAGCAACACACCAGCACCTCATCCTTTTTTCCTATCTGGACAAGCAGGTTAGGCAAAAACCAGATTTCACATAGTAGGCACCCTGCTTATATAGCATAGAGCAGAGCTCTGTATGTATCTGAGGGGTGGCTGATTCCACATTTTCTGAATTTTACTCATGGAATTTGTAGCAGTTAGCCTGGCAAGTTAAAAAGCTGTAAGCAGAGATAGATGAATCTGGAGAACGTCCTAAGGACAATCATTCAAGGAAATCTTTAGTTGGCTCCACACGACAGGTGAGTTAGGAAACTTATTAGAAGAACAAACCATTGACTAGTTTCAGACAAAGTTACACAGTGATAGGACAAGGGAGAATGGCTTTCAAGTAAAAGGGGAGATCTAGGTTAGATGTTACAAGCAAATTTTTTACTCGGTGGTAAGATGCTGGCACAGGGTGCCTAGAAAAGCTGTGGGTGCCCCATCCCTAGAGGCAGATGGAGCCCTGGTTGGCCTGTCCAGTTGGATGCCAACCTTACCCACAGGAGGAGGATGGAACTGGGTGATCACTGAGCTCCTTCCAAACCAAGTCATGATGTGATATTCCTGACAACCTCTAAAGTTCATTCTTTCAGTTTTTATTGTTAAAAAATAAAAAAAATAAAAAAAAATAAAAAAAAAAATGCACCAAATCCTATGCAAAACATAACACATCAATACTGTTGTTAGTATGTACTACATCAAGATACAGGATGATCTCTGGAGGTCCCTTCCAATCCCTATGATTCTGTGATAATATTAAGGCTCATGTAATTGAGCTTAAAAAAAAAAAAAAAAAAATTAAATATAAAAACTGAGCTTAGGATAGTAAATGTTTCAGTTTCAAAAGAGTATCAACCACAACGTCAAATGTTTGTATTCATCTGGCTAAACAAGATTATCCAACTTTGAATGTCTCCACTGTCACCATGATAAACAGTAAATGCTACTTACAACAGACCACCCCCAGAGTTTATGAGATAATAGTTATAGTCTGGTGTGTTGTAATTTGTGGAAGAAGCTGCTATTTAGCAAGCTGCTGATGTGTTATTTTTCATTTATATTGTTAACTGGACATGTAAGACTGTTAGCACTGACAGTAAGACACAGTATACTGAACTATTTTGATGAATATAAAACAAATGTCTTGAGTAGAGCAATCTCAGTAAATGGGACATTCCCCAGACAATTGCTTCTTTTCATAGTTCAACTTTCCAATCACCTTGAGCTACATTCTCACTAGGCAGATACCAATTTTCATGTCATATCTGCAACATTTTTTAAGTGTTGACTGCATTTGCCAAGGAGAAAGAGGAGTCTTTCACAGTTATTCCAGAAAGGTAAATAAGACATTGAAATGGAAAACCATATTAATCCAAGAGATGCCAAAATGAAATTCACAGTTAGTTAAATTCTCCCTGTAGAACCCACAGCTCTAACTTTCAAGCTTTTTCAAAGCCAGAATGCAGTAAGCTCCAAAACAGGACCTGTGATTGCTGCACTTCTCAGAAAACAAGAGTAAACCTATTTGCTTACTAGCTCTTCGGGCAACTAAATCAGATTTTTATGTTATGAACAAAGGATTTAGTATTTAAATGGTCTGGACATTTTATGGAAGTTACTCTAAGCACTGTACACAGTATTACATACTAAGATGGCAAAAGGTGCTGTACATCTCTAGAATTTTTTACTTTTTTTTAAGATGATTAATACTGGAAAGAATAGTCTCCAGTAACTTAAAAATTGATGATGTAAATTATCAACACTATTAAGTATCAAAATAAATTAAGGTTTAAATTAAGCGGGTTTTTTAATGCTTAAGTGTCACTTCCCTATTTGTAACTAGAATAGCTGCCTTAGATTAAGTCTGAACAAAACCTTGCCAAAAAAAAAAAAAACAAAACAAAACAATGCAAAGCCAGGTGCAAGAAAAACAAAACAAAATGCCTATCACATACCTCTGAATTAGCACTATTTCCATTCACGAGAACTCTTTCAATGATGTTTTTCATCAAAACGTGATCTAGAATGAATTAAGAAGTCTTAAGAATTCAATTTGAGAGAATTTCCTATGAGACAGGTATTTATAAAAATAGATCACTGTATAACTAATGGCTGCCCCCTCTTGTCAGCCACTTTTAAATGCTTGAACAAAGTATTGTTGCATGCTTTTTTCTTTGAAAACATTGTATTTTCACCCACTCAAGTTACTAGGAAAAAAAAAAAAAAAAAAACCTACGCGGAAGAGGACAGAGGCAGCTACAGATACATACCAATCAATGGATTTTTTCTTATATCAAGAATCACTAATGTTGTATTAGTTTGAAGAGCATCTAATAGTGACCTTGCTCCTTCATTGGATATTCCACACTGCTGTAAATCAAGTGCTAAAATATTTAGGGAGGTTAAAAAAAATAAGTTAGTCAGTGGTATAACTTCTAGTGAATATCTAATACAATTTAATCCATACCTTTCAAAGACCCTGTTTCACAGAACATAAATGGAGAACATTGAAATTTCTACCTTTCACTTCTGAAATTAATAATCAGTATTACAGACCAACATTGAGAAATGACTGCTAAGCAACTGCAAATGAAGGAATACAAAATCACAGTTAAGTCACTGTGATTGAAAATTCCCAGTAGATATATTTCCGGATACCAGTTAATTCAGCAGCCCAAAGTAACATAATATACACAATCTGAATGGGATGCAAGATTTGAATCTTTTTTTGACAATTTCTAAGGAAGGAGCCTACACAACCTCAGTGGACAACCTGTACCAGTGCTCTGTCACCTTCATAGCAAAACATCTCTCTTAACATTTCTAATGGAATCTCCTGTGCTTCAGTTTGTGCCCATCGCCTCTTTTCCTGTCAATAGACATACTGAATAGAATCCAGCTCCATTTTTTTCTCTGCCTCCTCTCACACAGCTGTACATTTGAGGAAATCTGCCCTTAAGACTTCTCTCTCCATGCTGAACAGCAATAGCTCCCTCAGCCTTAGCTTTCAGGACATATTGCCCTGTCTCTTGACCATCTTAGAAGCCCTTTGAAAGACTCTCTCTAGCAGATTCATCTCTCTCCTGCACAAGAGTGCACTACTCCAGGTGTGGTGGCCTTACTAGTGCTGAGCAGTGAGGATTTTTCCTCAAACTGCTACCAACACTTCTAATGTATGACAGCTTCCTTGTCACAGAGGCAAGCAGCTGGCTCACAGTCAACTGTTTACAAAAGGACACCCCCATGTACTTCACTGCTAAGCTGCTTTCCAGCCAGTCAGCCCGCAGCATGTACAGGTACATGGGATTATTCCTTCCCAGGTGCAGCACTCTGAACTCATCTTCACTGCACTGAATCTCTCCAGCTTGCTGAGGACCCTCTGGGTGGCAGCACTTTTCCACCTTCCCAAAAAATCAAAATAAGGCTCACTGGCCAACAACTCCCCAGAATTCTTTCTGCCCTTCCTGAAAAAAGTAGTATCATTTGCTTTCCTCCTGTATTCAGGCTCCTCTTCCAATCACCTAGATCAGTCAAAGACGGAGACAGAACTCAATGACATCAGGGATCTCCTACAGCATTTGTGATGTATCCCATCAGGACCCATAGTCAACCATATGTCCAGTTTACTTAAGTAATCCCTAATTCTTAAGTAATCCGTAATTCTTATACCAATATGCATGTTATCTGTACATCTGGCTCTGAGGCTTAGGTATTGAAATAGATTCCATGTACAGAATGCTTTGAATTGTACTATCACTATTAGTCATTTTATACATACATAGTATAGAACAAAGTACTTCTCCAGTATCCTACAGGACACTTTCTCTAAGAAGACATTGCTTTCCAAAGAGATTATTCTTTCCTAGATAAATACAGAATTGTTCTACTGCTTACATTTGCTGTAATGGGTAGCAAATTTTATTTCCCATCTGCCTCTACTATATCACAATACAGTATCACAATACCTTTAAGCCACAGGTCTTCTCCCAGACAATCTGCAAAGGCACTTGCTCCTCGATCTCCAACAAGCATGTTGCAGTTGAAAGTAACACGCCTCAAGCCTGTCATATAGTCAAGGTCTGGTCTCCTGTAACGTAAACTTTCAGCCCAAGCTTCACCATGTCTTTTCATTGCCTGGTGCTTTGAAACAAAACGTTACCGAATGCAAGAAGACAAAGCCATTATAAATAACTAACAGATAAATACTAGTACTTAGTAGTTTGAGTGTAGAAGCATTTATAATACAAGTCATGCATCAAAATTACAGTTAAGTCATGTTTGTTCACATCATCCAGTTCCCAGTGAAGTTATTAAATATGAACAGAGAATTCTAAACGCCTTACCACCTTCTTTGCCCACTCACAATGCATCTTGAATAAGACATACACAGTAGGAAGTTTTGTGCTTTCATGCAAGCCAATGTTAACATTAATTAGAACATTGTGCTAGTCACAAGCTTATTAATTAGTAGTTTTTCAACAGCAAACAATTACATTATTTCTACTAAATGCTTAAGAATACTTAAAACATTTTGAAACACTTGCGACAATGATGAAAGCACTCCTCAGAACAGCTATCATTTACAGCCCTAATCCCCATTTGAAAAAAAATAAAGACAGTCTAAACTGTTATTTCTTTAAGCAAAGCCTATTAAGGAAGACCATGTTTAATTTCCCACACCACAAATACGCTTCTTCTGAATGCAGTTTCACAAACTTCAGAAGGACTGTTCACACATTTAACATCACATATGCTTTGATGGGTTAGAGCTTGAAAGAAAAAAACAAGCGCTCAATAACACAGGTTAATTCTACACTCAGAGTTAAGGAAATACATAGTAACCAAAACAAAAAACACGCCTGCACATTCACTGCCACTTAGAATGACAACTCACTCGTTATTCAATCCTGCTATTTATTAATATATTGGGAAAAACTTGGAAGAGGATGTAAAAGAACTTACTTCCAAAACATACTGCTTCCTTTGAGCTCAGTCCTATTATAACACAGTGATCAGTATAGGCTACACAGCATAGCCTATACTTTTCTTATTGTTAATCAGAACATTTTCCTTTATTATTGCTTGTGTGATATACTAAGATGTTTAAATCTACTTCAACAAAAGTAACAAATAATTCAGTCTCCCTAGACAATCACTTGTAGGCTTATGAAATTCATTACAATAAAAATTAGCTCAGCATAAAAAAAAAAAATAACATGGCAAAAGCCCTCTCACAACGAAACACAGTTTTCAAGATAGATATATAGATATATCTATCTATATATCTATATCTATATCTATATATCTATATATCTATATATCTATCTTGAGAGGGCAATTTGTGACATAGCTGCCATAATCTCTCTTCCCTGAGATTTAAAGTCATGAACCGTTCCTTGAGCTCAGTACAATACATGGACTAGCACTGCTTTTATGATCAAATTAAAAAATGGGACAAGGATTTGTTACAAGCTGAATTTAGTTGTTATTCTTAGTTATTTAAGTTACTGCGAAAATTTAGTTCCCAGAAATGAGATGAAATTACCTTTAATACATTTCCCATGTGTTCTGCTCCTCGCCAGGTAAGGCTACATCCTGTGAAGTTAACATATCTGATAGTAGCTGAATTCTTCACACTCTGACAGACTGCTGGAAAAAAAACCAAAAAAAAACCAAAAACAAAACAAAACAAAAAAAACCCTTGCATACTAAGTACACACACCACAATAAGGCTATCAAAACAAACATCTTTTCACTGCCATATTAAGAAGCTGAATCAATTTTAGTGGGCAAATGCCATGTCAAAGATGCCTTTAAGTTGTTGTAAGATTATATATTTCAGTGCAGGTGCTTAGCAAAGATTATCTGAACATGCAAAAAAAGGTGTTATTTCTGTTTACTTATCTCAACATGATGACATCATCTCAAACTTACATATTACACTTACAGTTTTATTTCTAGCAGTTGTAATTATTAAGTAGTTTAGCTATTTGCCAGTATCAAGAAAGGACATTCAAGTCTAAATAGTGTAAACTCATGAATAAAGTGTATTTTAATCACTACAAATAAGTTTAGTAAGACAAATGCTTCAAAAACTGACCTGTTTGAAAACTATAAGAAAGAAGTATATTGACACATTTTTGATTCTCAACTTACTTTCTAATCCTCCATCTCCAATTGGACAGTGGGCTAAAGAAATGCTCTCTAGAGATGAAGTTGTGGCCAAGCCCTTCAGAATAAAAACAGTGTTTTTTACTGACTCAAAACTCAAAAATACAAATAAATAGAAGTCCAAGACTACAAGAAATCCTAGGGAGCTGGGAGGAAGGTCATTGTAAAGCTCACTTTCAGATGGTTCATTTTGTAACACAGGAGGAACCTAGCCTACTTGCAACAAGCAGCACTTCCTTTCCTAAAAGCCATTCAAACGCAAACTAGAGGACATATTCTAGTTAACACACCTTAGAGACCTGCTTTAATCTTCTTGGTTTATCACTTTTCTTCTGCCATTCACATTAAATGTAGTTACAGCCACAAGTGTAAGTCATATACAGCCACACACAACACAGGAAAGTTGTTAATAACTTTCATATAAGCCTTCCTTAATCAGGGCATAGGAAATCTGTGTGATTTTGACAGGTTTTGACAGAACAAACAACGTTACACTAAGTATCTCAAAAGAATCATGCATACACTGTATAACACAGACATGTACAAAAATGTGCCTGTTTTAACATGATCTATTTGTCACAAATAAAGTTTAGTTGCAGCTCCTGTTAGGCTCCAAGCATTTTTTCATTTATTTGCATACTAATATAGTCTCACCTTTGTTAGAAGTATTAGATCTCTCTCCCTCAGAAGCAAACCTTGCAGTTCCAAATTTTTTAGTACATCTGAGATGCTGAGACAGCCTTTGACAGCTTTGCATAGTTGGCCAGTCAAATCTTTTGATCTAATTGCTGGAATTCTCCTTCTAAAGTAGGTTTTATATCTTTCAACACCTAGTAAACAAAAATTTACACAGTGATAACCCCCAGCCTTTACTGACTTGAAACTAAGCATAATTACAAAACATTTTGTTGCTGCTTTTAAATAAAAATAATTCCTTGGATGGTTCAATCCTTTTCAAGCACTTGATCACACAGAAGTTTTACACAATTTTAACATACATATCAGCAGAGACACTCCTACAAACCTGATTCTCCAAGACCTTGTTGATGAAAACTTCTTATTCCAACAGAAGTCAGACTCTTATCATGCCTAATAGCATCTAAAAGTGGTGTCCAGTCAGCAGCTTTGATGCTATCTACAGTTAGATCAAGGGTACCCTGAGTCAGGTTAACTTTCACAGCTTTCAGTGGGACAGAGCCTTGAACTGCACAAAGATGTTCATAGTGTGAGTAGAAATCCAGCATGCATTGTCTTCTTACTTGGACAGAATCAATCATTTTTCTACTTGATAAATGTTCCTGTAAAATAAGGAAAAAATATATCAACTTCTTTCAACAAGAAATTCATTTAGCATCAACCTCCACTCAGCATGCATACTGAATTAGTTGAATAAAACCACAAAAATCTAACATACAAGCACAAACTACTGATAAGTTCACATTTTCATTTTAAAGCTTAATTTAGTTGCATCAGGATCTGCAGATTCCTGAAAGCCTTGAAAATCTCCTGACCCAAAAATCAAAAGATACAAATGGCTATTCCTAGCAGAACTACTTGTTATTTTCTCTATCAGAACCATAGAATAGCCTGGGTTGATAAGGACCACAATGATCACCGAGTTTCAACCCCCCTGCTACGTGCAGGGTCACCAACCACCAGACCAGGCTGCCCAGAGCCACAACCAGCCTGGCCTTGAATGCCTCCAGGGATGGGGCATCCACAGCCTCCTTGGACAACCTGTTCCAGTGCGTCACCACCTCTGTGTGAAAAACTTCCTCCTAATATCTAACCTAAACCTGTCTCAGTTTAAAACCATTCCCCTTGTCCTATCACTATCCACCCTCATAAACTGTCTTCCTGCAATCATAACTCCAAATTCCCATTTGGGAAATATGTAAAGGCACCCCATGCCTTTTTTTTTTTTTTTTTTTTTTTTTTTTTTTTTTTGCCTGAGGGTTGCAAATTGACTCAAGATAGAATTAAGTATCCCACACAGAATACCAAATTTTTGTTTGTACTGTTAAAGGCTACAAAGCTTCAAGAACCTTCAGAAAAGGAGAATTAATGGATGTGTGCAAGCCTGCGATGACTGCTACTTCTGAGAATATAACTTGGGATTAAAAAAAGTTATTACTTTAATGACTGAAATTGTATAGCGCTGTTCTTAGTTCCTCTACTCCGATTTATTCACTAGTTATTATTATTTATTCCCTTTTACTTCAGCTCTCCAAGTTGCTAGCATTAGATAATTTGCACATCGTGGTCACTGGAACTGAAATGAGTGAACTGCAGTCCAATACTTCACATTCAGAAAGTGACCATCAGTTGTAAAATCATCCAGAGATCAGGGGATGAATCAGTGTACAGCACCACAGCTTTCATCTCTGGTACTTCATCACTATTCTTTCTCATGGTTCATTTTGCTCCACCACTTGCCCATCACACCCATGGAGCTCCTGGCCCTAGCATTCAATGTAGAAAGGCCATCCAGGTTCCCAACTGAGCAACCACTATGTAAACCAGCACTCTTCTGCAGAGGGATATCAACAGATCTAACAAAACTCCAGAATGTCTTGACTGGCTTTGAGAAAGTAAGGAAAACTAATTTGCTCTTTTGGTACAGAAGCAAGTTATCAAATATGTATATATAGCAATATGTATATTTGCTATCGGCTAGCATTAAAATAGAGCACATAACAAACCTGAGATACTCAGCTGCACAAAGCTTTCAGTAAACAGAAAGTTCGTACGGATTCAAAAAAAAGACGGGGGGGTCTCACACGAGACGCACTCACAGAAGCACGGGCTGTGCCCAGCACCCTGAGCTGCAACACGAGCTCATGTTCACCCCGCCGATACACTTCCTTAAGCACCTCCCGGTCTCCGGCAGGGCACAGCGGACTGACGCGGCCTGCACCGTGAAGCACAAGCCGCGCGCTTCCAACGCCCAGCACAACAGAGCCCCGCTCACAGCGCGCAGACCGGTGCGTTGCTGCTCTCACCTCGCACCCGGCCCCCGCCACCAGGGGCGCTGCCTCGCTGCCTCGCTGCCTCGCTGCCTCGCTGCCTCGCTGCCTCCCTCCCTCCCTCCCTCCCGCCCTCCCGCCCTCTGCGCCCCACTTCCCTGACAACGCGCATCGCCCAACCTGCACAAAGCGGGGCAGAGCCCCCGCCCGACGGGTTATCGCAGCCGGGCCGCCGCCTCCTTCCACATGTCTCCTCGCAGCTGCGCCCAGCACAGGCACGGCCGCCTCCTTCCCCCGCCTGCCCAGCCCCAAGTCCCACCCGTACGAGCGGGTACGGGTCTAACCTCGCAGCTCCTCCCCAGCCTGCCAGCTCCGCCGCCGCCCGGCCCGCACGACCGCCCCTACACGCGCGGCCGTTCCCTTGGCAGCCAACCGCCCAACAGCCCGCCGCCACGTAGCGCAGCGAGCCAGCCCCAATAGGTCGCCGCGGGCACTCCTCTGCCATGGCCCCTCCATGCGTTCAAAATGGCCGCGCCCACCGCCCTTCCCGCCCCGCCCCTTCCCCGCCCCGCCCCGAGTGGAGCCGTGCTCCCCGTCGTCCGCCCCCCCGGCAGTGGGGGGTTGCGCGGCTTGGGGACGCGTGCGGAGGTGTGGGTGTGCGGGCGGAACGCGGCACCTCGGCCTTAGTTGTGCACCTTGTGAGAGGCCTGCTTGTGCTCGGGGCAAACTGCCGCCTGGAGAACGATTCGTGGAGGTTTTGCTGTTAGTATGTCACACCTTTCCTTTTTTAAAAGAGCTTTTAAGGAAAGGCCGGGAAAACAGCAATCCTGTTGCCTACCGTCCCTATATCTGCGCTACCAGAGAGGCGTGTTGTGGGCACTGTGAACTGAGTACATCACAGCATTTTGGCTGGCAGCAGTAGCTTCCGACAGCTGGTCTGAGCGCTTGGAGAGCAAATAAACCCTTCTTCCCTAGTCACGTTTCTCATTACCTTGCTGGCTTAATTCAGAAAGACCTGATTGCAGTCCCTACTGGAAAGCCCTTGTTAGCACACAGTGGAGGGCCCTAGATGTACCTGCCTTCTAACTCCACCAATTCCACGTACTCAGTGTCCCAACCCTGGAATGGCAGGTCATTCACTGAAAGGCGCACCAACCACTTAAGAAAATGCCTGCTATAAATCGGTGTCACAGCAGTTTGCTTATTTGGCCAGTTAGTGTTTCTAGTCTGCTTGCAGACAGCAGGATTAAACTTCAAAGATAGGAAATCTAAAGAAATTAAGCAGATCAAGGCCCTTAGAACATTGTCTGAATGCTTTCTGTTCACAGAGGTGTAATACAATGTACAGCTGATGTTATCAGCATCAGAAGTAACCAAAGCAGCCCAAGTGATGCAATGAAGTGTGCTGGAACGAGAATTATTTCAGTAAGTCTCAGGTCACTGTCTGTACAAATTGTTTCATCATGACATTTTGTGAATTGAGCATAAAAGGCAAACTGTGCAGGGCCATAAGCATCCAAATGGTAACAGAAGATTCTGACTGTAACACAAAGTTCCCAGCGCTTCTAATGCCTCTTATGGTCACAGACAAAACTCAAGCAAACTCAAATCTATGGCACATCTAGATAAAATGCTGCCTGTGCTGTTTTGGTAACTCACCATTAACAGAATAGGAGTTATAATACATCTTCAGTGCTAGTTCACAAGCACTGGAAATTGTTTTTGATTAATATGTCCTTTATCACTTTTTTTTTTTTTTTTTTTGTTCACTCCTTTTAGGTTTTTGAGCTGTTTTTTCTTTCAGTCAAAAATCTGATTTTGTGGAGGGTGGTGTCTACAAATCTTAACCCTACAAATCGAAGGTATAAGATGAATTATAACCCTATCTTACCACATATGAGTTGAATTTATAATCGTTTCCCCATTTCCTTTGGGAAATTAATCTAAAGTACTTAATCTATTATTTCAGTTGTAACTTGGAATCCTGTGCATTCTAAGCCATGGAAGATAGAAAGGATCTCTGAAGATTCCAGGGGAGTACACTTGGTATCTAAAGATATTACCTACCAGAAGCACTTCAGCCTTACGTTTTGTTGTCAATTCTGGTGTCAGTTATGCTTCAGTTGTAAAGACTGGAAGTTCAAAACAGAACTTGAATCATAGCATCCCTGTCGTTGCTATATGGATGAAGCAAGAAACGTGTCTGTATGCAACTGTTACACATACAGTGTCATGTGTTTGCATCAAGATTAAACCTGAAGAAATCAAGATGAGGAGTGATTGCACTGTTACAGAGCTCCTGCAATTTTCTATCATGTTCTGTCAAACAATTGCCCTAGATCTTGAAATCTGCAAGTTACTAAGGTCACAATCAAGTTATAATTAAAAGGGAATTTGTTAGTAAATAAACATATTCAGATTGGAAATTCAGAATATTGCAGAGAATCTGATGCAGGTTGCTTCTCACCAGACTTGTTTCTTTTTTTCAAATCAGAGCTGAGTATCCATTTTGTCAACACTGATTTATTGGTGGTAGGTGGACAGCTGGGCTAGATGATCTCAAAGCTCTTTTCCCACCTCAATGATTCTGTGATTCTGTAATTCACTGGTTTTTCATTCTACTTGCTCCTTTAAAGTGTTTTTTTTCTTTTTTCTTATAATCAATTTTGGTTAATGTAGCACAGATCTGCCCAGGATCTTCCTCAGCTGCCTGGGTGCTGAGGAAGCATCAAAAATGTTCTGTGCATGTGAATCGCTGTGAAGACTTTCAGTGTGGGCTTTATGCCCTAGGCAGCAGCTATAAATATACATAACAATGAATCTGCCATTACTATCTCAGTTCCCATCACAGTTTTGCATCCATGGTGTTTCCACAGCATACAAACTGCAAGTGATTCAAGTAACTGTAAGTAACCGAAGTAATCCTATTTTATGACCACTGTGTGCTTTGAAAATAGCATGAAGATTTGGATTTTTGGTAAGTTAGTAAAAGATTTAATAATGTAATGTCATTCAAGAACTGTTCTGGATGTCCAGGAAAATGAGCACATGGGCAAGCTTTCGCTACTTCAGCCCTAACCACACAAAGATTTGACCTGAAGATGTACTGTATTCTCTCTGGTTTTGCAAATAAGAAAAAAAAATCCATATTATATTCCAGCCATTGAAAAGTATTCTGAAGTCTTTTGTTCTCACAGATTTCCAAGTAATTGTGCCAGCCTCCTGTATTTAATCTGGAAAGAACAAATAAAACATGAAAAATAAATGTATCAGAGCACCCAACTTTTCTGCAGAAAAAATTATCCACGGTGTTAGAAAATGATTTTTGCATGTACTCTTAGTGGTTGAGAATATTATTTTTTGTCTTTTATTCCTGCATTCCTTGAGTTTGTTCATTGCTCTGTATTGCCCAACTCGGTCAGTATTGAAAAATCTCTGTTTTTATTAACAATACGCTTCATACTATGTTTTTAGATGTATAATAAGTACAAGATGTTTGTAAAAACATATATGCACCTAGGTCTTGGAGATCTAAGCCATTTTGCTGTATTGCTTTCATTCGTGTTCATTCATTGCCAGCTTAGCAATTCTGACAATATTCTGACAATGCTGTGGAAGCTATTTAGATATTTGATTTCACGAGAGCATTAAAAAAAAAATGAGACTTGGAATTTTTACTGTAGTGTTTTGTGTTTCCTCTGGCCAGATTTCTCATTTTTATGTAGAACATCCTGTATTTTCTAATTGTGAATATAACCCTTGCTTTTTCTAGGCAGAGACATTTCTGATTACTTTGGAAAGTTTTAGGTCTTCAGAAGTATGAAAAGGTTTGATGAGATACTGGGTATCTCTGCTATAGAAAACAGCTCTGAAACAGACCCATTCTATATTATCATTTTGGTAAATGATGCCTGCTGAATCAGCCATCATCTTGATGAATTTGTTAAACTAATTGATTTTTCTAACTGTTTTTTTGGTGGTTGTTTTTTTTTTTTTTTGGGGGGGGGGGGGTTTTTTGGTGTTTTTTTTTCTTGTATTTTTCTAGGCTTCTTGTTTTGCTTTGTTTAGTTTTTATCATATACAAATTCTAATTTTTAATCAAATTTAACATTACAAGCAATTGTCAGTTTTACACTGGAGCTGATGTTAGTCTTTTTATTGACAACATGGAAGAAAAAAAATGTACAGTTAATCTTATCAGGTAACCTGTTTGTGCAGCAGATATTGTCATATTTTCTCTTGGCTTTGTAAGGATATGTGGACTGAAAGTCAGCCTACTAGATGACTTAACATTTTTGGGTTTTTTGTTAGTTTTTTTTTTCAGTTTCTTTATCTTGCTCTCCTAAGTCTGCTTGTAAAACAAAATGGTTAACAATTTTGCCATATTCTGCAGAAGACAATCTGGCGTTGAATTCTACTTAGCAAAACAACAAAAGCTTTGTTTCCTAAACAACGTGAAAAAGTTTTAAGAGCTGCTACTAGGACAGTTCTTTCGTCCAGAAGTGAGGGGGGAACTTTGTTGCTAGGTGGCAGTGTTCCTCAAGAAAAGATGTATTGGTGGAACTTAAGAATTTTGTTTTAAGCAAGCAGAAAATAATTAGAATCACAGAATGGTTTGGGACCTTAAAGTTCACCCAGTTCCAATCCCCTGCCTGGTTGTCTCCCACCAGCTCAGGCTGCCCAGGGCCCCATCCAGCCTGGCACCCTCAGCTTCTCTGGGCAGCTTTTACCAGTGCCTCACACCCTTGACGTAAAGAATTTCTTCCTGGTAGCTAACATGAGTTTCTCCTCTTTTATTTTAAAATCATTCCTCTGTTTCCCTATCACTATCAGGTCTTAAAAAAAACTATGCCCTTCCTCCTGATTGTAGTTATTTAATTTGTGTCATCATTAGACAGCTTTATCATGTTATTCTTGGAACTTCATGATTGCATGAAGACAAATGCACAGTATTATTTATTATATGCATTATACCGTAGAAGGACATGGCACTTTAACACACAGGAAATATTTTAAAGAAAGCTCAAAATCTCAGTATTTCTCTCGGGACAGTCCAAAGGCATGCCAGTTAGAAAAAAAATGAACTACTGTTTGTGAATTTTCATAGTAAAGCACACTGAATGATTAAAAGAGTTTTGAAACTCTGTTTGAGTTAATTTACTACTAAATAGTTGTACAAAAGGCCTAGAAACATGGGGTAGACATGGCTGAAGCAGTGTTAAGGAAGTAACACTCGGGACAGCCTAAAGGGAAAAGAGAGAGAAAAAGCT